CTTACAGGACACCGTCACGGAGCTCGAGGAGGTCTCGTCGCTCTGTAACTCCTCCTGGCAAAAGCTCTTCTCCACCCCCTGTTCCGGGCACCGACAAGACAGACACAAAGATTTCGAAACGATCCTCAAAGGACATGGCGACCGATGAAACTATCAGTATCTTGGATCCTCGGCGGTTCACTCCAACTCTGCACGCAAACTTAGTCTCGGAAATTCTGTCGCTGAGGAGAGATCAGGAAGAGAAGACGAAGATCATCGAGAGTCTCGAGTCCTCGCTTCATGCAACTCGAGAGGAAGAGGAGTCACTGCAGACAACGTTGATGAGCACAGCTAAAGAAAATCGTTCACTGAAGCGACAGTTAGCTCTTCTCGAGGGTGGCACGTCATCCGCTCTCGGTGAATTGGCTAGAGAGCGTGATGAGGCTGTCGATACTGCCACTGAAACAAAGAAACGACTTGAACAGGCTCAGAAGAAATTGCGCAGTCAAGAAGAGGACTCGCAAAGAGTCCACGACCTTTTGGCTAGGGAGAAGGATGAGTGGGAAGAGGAGAAGCGCAAGTATGAGCGTAAAATCCATGTGGCGGAGAGTCGGCTCAAAGTTGTGTTGGACGAAGTGGCTGCATACCAGGCCGCACATGTGAATGGCCAGAATGGTGCGGAAAGCGAGGTGGAAGAACCCGCGAAGGACAATGATGCCGCCAGTGTCCGTACCATGAGCATGACGAACAGTATTCGTTTCTCAGTGATCAACAGTAAGCCAAATGGTCACTCTCTTGCGGATGAGCTGAACTTCGACGATGACGACGATTATCATACGGACCATGACGGGCGCGAGAGCGTCATGTCGAACCATGTACACATGCGAAACGCCAGTCGAGATAGCATAATGTCAAAGAGACACCGACGACACCAGAGCAACGACAGTCTGATCAGGCCAGGAAGTGTCGCTCGGGGACGATTCCAGACACAGTTGGAACGACTTGCAGATGGTATTATCCAAGAGGATGAAGAAATTGAGCCAGCGCCGAAGGTCAGCTACACGGATACGGGCATACAGTACTCACCACCACCTTCTCCGAAGGTGCAACCATCTAAGCCAGCCACTCCCGAGCCGCCAATCCTCACTGCTAGGCTCGAAAGGCTCCATGAACTGGAGAGCCCACCCCGTGAATGGGAAGTCGAAGCAAACCAGAGACGCAAGAGAGTTAGCATCGCACGCCCACTAACCATCCAAGCTATCCATAAGGAAAATCTCATGGTATCTACCTCTGCGCAGACAGTAGATGAACCGCTCAGCCCGCCCAAGACTCCCAAGTCGCCTTTCGAGGAGGTGCCTCCTTCTCCTCAAATCAAACCTGCTACAGTCATGGTCTCGACTGCTTCTCAAACTGATCCTCCCGTACTGCAACAGCATTTTGTTATGCCCCCTCTTCCTCAAATGCCCATCCCGAGCATCAGTATACATCCTCCGACAAGCCGGCCGACGACTCCCCGCGAACCCCGTCTTCCTCAACTTTTCAAAGACTTTGGATGTCAGGTTTCCATCTTGGCTTCTGTCCCATCCGCATCAATTGGTATCCAGACAGAGGAAATCCGCATTGATAAGCGATTGGATAAACTCCCTGCCCACCTGCATCCATCCGCCATAACTTCTCGGCCCACATCCCCACGCCCGGTTTCTCCTGCGCCAGAGCCTCAGGCTTCTGGTGATGTAGACCATCATTTCACTCCAGTGCCTGGTAATTTGCCTCCTCGCAACCCCAGGAGACTGACGAACAAGAAGAGCTTGACCGATATCACTTCGTCACCCCCTCCTGCGCTTCCCGCTCCGGAGACTCGTGATGCCTATCCTGGCAACAATGATGATGGCCCGCTTTCTCATTCTAACCAGAAGGCTCCAGTACGGAGACCCCATCGTATCAGCAGCTTGTTTGCTGGCTTTGATGGAGGAAGCTCGGATGAAGCTGACGACTTCGCTGATGCTGACTTGAGCGATTCAGAGTACAGAACAGCTTTGTCGGCCCCACGGCCACAAGCTAAGTCTTCTCGACCTGGCAAACGTAGCTCTGGAGGTACCACCACTACCTCTCCAGAGCAGGTGACAGCGCCGAGAAGCTCTAACAGAAACTCCATGCGTCCCCTCGGAGGGACAGACATTTACAACTCTTTCCCTCTACCCGAGGGACGAGAAGCACCCGCACCGAAGCCATCTGTTAAGGGCATGTCGCGGTCATCAGTAAACTCCAACCGTGGAAGCGTCATGCGAAAGGCCGCGATGATTCAAAATGGCATTGCGACTCACCAGGGTCGTGCGAGAAGCCCCAGCCTCCCTGACCCTCGGGACCCTCCCTTCCCAATACCTACCAGAGCCAGTTCAAGAAAGCCACCCACAAGTGTGAGCGCTCCGAGCGACGGTCAGCGTAGCCCTACAAGGCCGAACGAACCTTGGCACAAGAGAGGCATGAGGAACAGCCACTATCGTGCCAACAGCATTCGCAAAGTACGGTCAGCGGCCGCGATACCCGTGAAGCCGAGATACAGAAGACAAGGCAGCCGCTCACCTCCACCTTTCTCGCCATCGGAGGAGCCTGAGAGTCCTGGTCTTCCACCTCTGCCCAACAATGATATCACCACTCCACGCACCAATGGTGGAAAGTTCAGAAGCCACCATCAGCAACCCTCTACCAACACTGCCAATACTGATGCTACGGGTTTCATGTCTCAGAGCAGCTCCCAAGCCGCAACCGGGGTCGTCGACGCCATTGCTCAGACGATGGTGGGAGAGTGGATGTTCAAATATGTCCGCAGAAGAAAGTCGTTCGGAATGCCTGAGGGCAGCGGCAAGGATGACAGCAGTAACGATCGCCATAAGAGATGGGTGTGGCTGGCTCCTTATGAGCGAGCTATCCTTTGGAGCAGCAAGCAACCTTCTAGCGGAAGCGCATTACTCGGCAAGTCTGGTCGCAAGTGTAAGTCCTTTTCCATGTGTACGCAAATTTGCAAGTTTGTAAAATCTAACATACTCTTAGTGACCATCCAGTCCGTTCTTGATGTGAAAGACGACAATCCTACACCGAAGGGCGTTCCGCAATTATTCAATCGCTCAATTCTGATCTTAACACCTCAGAGAGCATTGAAATTTACCGCCATCAACGCGGAACGGCATTATCTGTGGCTGACATCGTTATCGTTCCTGGCTCATTCACAACAAGCCGTGCCCGAGATTGTCCCGGTAGCAGCACCAAAGGCCGTGCCTGATTTCGAATTGCCAAAGACAAAGTTGCGGAAGCCAGGCATTCGCGACTCAATTCGCTTGGCGAAGGGTAAAAATGGAGTTGTCCCTCCTCGACCTGGAGCTATAAGCGCGGCCTCGTCGAATACTGGTGACTTCCCACCAAGCATCCCGAGCATCCCAAGCGTGCCACCTAGCATAGCAAGCTTCAGGCCGCCAGAGTCATTCATATCGATGCCTAGTCATCAACGTGAGCTCTCTGGCCAAGCTGCCGAAGCTCCCTTCATCCCACGTTTCCATGAACGGGCCAATCAGGCCTTGGTTCACGGTCGTAAACGAAGCAATACCGGGGGTCACGTTCCCCCACCGCTGTCTTTCCGCGGCTTCTCTGGCCCCGTAGGCAACGGAGGTGCTTACCATGCTGCGACGAACAGCACAGCAGGCAATAGTACTGGCACTGCTGGATCGTCTGACATCTATCAGTCGCAGGCAGGCTCGAGCAATGCTTGGGCATTGAGCAGCGCTGCCTCTCAACGGACTTCTGAGGCATCATCTCGTCCTAGCGGAGCAGTGATGAACAACTTCTTCGACGCGATAGGAACTGTTCGTATGGAAGCCTTCATCAGTCCTCTCGCCTTCTCTCGCTTTGATGAATATCCTGATGAGCAGGAGGAGGTGCGCTACCGCGCCCGGAGACGAAGCAAAGAGGCAAGAAGACGGAAGAGCCGCAGTCGTCACCGCGACAGCTATAATTCCCGAGGTACACGCGGCACAGACGACTACTATGGTGGCAGCCGTACTGGGGGAGAAGAAGATTATTACTTCCGCGATGATCCTTTCAAGGGATTCTGAGGCGGACAGGACCGGTTTTGATACACGAAAAGGTTGGTATTAGAGTGGTGCCGTTGTCGGCGGACCAAGGGCGTGTTGATACCCCAATTGTACAGTTTGTTGCGTGGAGGAGTTGAATAGTCCGCGAATCTGATCATCAGTTTCCCACCAGGTCTCACGACGTGGTAGAATGCGGCCGGCAGGAAAGGAGAAAGGCGTCCTGGAGTTCTGCGGTTTTCACATTCACTTGATTTTCTTTTGCTTTTATTTCAGGAAGGGTAGGAGAGGAGGCTAATGCCGAAGGGGGTCAATCTGGCTCTGCTATGAGTACAACTGAGACGGACTTGAACAGACTTGCAGAGTCTTTCTCTTTTCAACTGACAAGCACATTGCTTTCGTCATCGGGTACCCAATATCTCTTAGAGAAGGGCAACCCAGTATTTTAACAAAAAGCGAAGGGACTACAGACCTGACAAGCCTGTCATGGCACTCTCTCCTTGTATTTTAGGTATTCTGTAGTCTCGTCGACGGGACGGGATTTCATGACTGTAAGGGCAGATGAATAGCCTACGGCCGGATTATATCCTTCTATTCACTCCTTTGATTCGGCCTTGTCTACCAAGACTAGAATCGCTTTTTAAAACCGAATAATGATCACTTGAGATTCATTCCAATCTTCGTACCAATCTTGCATGTCTGGAAAGTGATGTGATTTTGTGGCTCCCCCTGCCACAAGTCTGTTTGATATGGTGTACAGTTTACTCCGGCTATTGGGTACCACACTACTGCAATGCAGGGCTCGGGACGCCCCTCCTGCTCTTCCCCTGAGGCGAGACCTGCCAAACCCCACCAAAAAAGCTGTCCTCACACCCCCCCGCCCTACTTCACACTTTCTCCCGTACTGTTGCAAGCCCTCTGGCCAAGCCTGTTTACAGCATGGAGACCTTGGAGCAGATACAGGCTCGCCACCGCAAAGAAAGCAAGGACCTGCAGGGCCGCATAACGAACAAGAAGAAGAACGCCACGAAGAAGACACGCAAGGGCGTCAACGACGAGTGCGCGGATCTCGAGCGGCAGCTCAAGGAGCGACACGAGGAGGAGCTCAGAGCTCTCAATGGCGACAACGAAGCGGCTTCCGACGAGGAGCGAGACGATGCCGAAGAGCCGAGCCAGAATGGCATAGATAGGACTGTTGCAGACGCAGACGGAATCGCAACAAAGCTCGCCGACACAAACTTGTCAGATCCCGACTCGCCGACACCGTCCTCCCCCGCGACCCGGCAGCAGCAGCAGCAGCAGCAGCCGCCGCAACAGGGCAAGAAGCGAAACCGCCAGAAGGACCGGCTCGCCCGCCGCGCGGCGGAGCAGGAGGCCGCGGCCATCAGGGCGGAAGAGGAGGCGGCGAACATGGTCGACCACCGGAGCGTCGAGAAGACGTACATGCTGAACGAGTTCAAGGCGCACGCGCTGGTGGAGAAGGAGATCCAGCCCGACGGCCACTGCCTGTTCTCGGCGGTGGCCGACCAGCTGGAGCAGAGCGCGATACCACTTGGTGCTGCGCTTGGCGACCAGCCGCAGCCGCAGCTGCCGTACAAGGTTGTGAGGAGGGCTGCGGCTGGCTATATGCAGGCGCACGGGGACGACTTCGCTGGGTTTCTGGAGGAGCCGCTGGATAGTTATGTCGCGAAGATCCGCGACACGGCAGAGTGGGGTGGTCAGCTGGAACTGCTGGCGCTCGCGAATACCTACAATGTCGAGATACATGTCATCCAGGACGGGCGGACAGCGGTCGTCAGTCCGACCATCGAAGGAGACGAGGAGCCGAAGAAGATCTGGCTGGCTTATTATCGGCACGGTTACGGTCTTGGTGAGCACTACAATTCTTTGCGAAAGAAGTCATGAATTGTGCCGTATCTATGCTAAGGGCCTGATGTCTGGTCCATGTATCTCCCAGATACGACTCTAAGCCAAGTGGCCCCAGACCGAAACATAGTCGTCCATGTTGCCGTCGTCGTCATATCCAGCCTGATGAGATCTGGGTGGGCGGAAATGTGCAAGCCGCTTCAGACCGTTGCCTGCGGGCGAGACAGCACTGTCTACAGCTACCGCTCCATCTTTATCATAGGGGACCACTTTCCCTGGTTGAGATAGGTGGGCGACATATATGTCTGGAGGTAACCCGTACGGAGGTCCTCCAGCATTCGTCGGCTTGGATGATGGGAACTCGAGACAGACCAGTCTACCATCAGCAGCGAGGAGCTCCGACATGCGCTTCGCCCAGGCTGGTCGTGCTGAGGGTGGCAGGGCGCAGAAAAACTAGAGAGTTGGTGAGCGCTCTGGGCGAAGCTTGGTTGATTCAAATGCGAGATTTGGCTGCTCAACTCACGGTATAATCATAGATTAGATCAAACCCGTCCACATTGGCGGCCCTCAAGAAATCATCCTTGAAGAAGTCCCCTGTGAGCCAAGTGACTTTGCCTTTTTCGACGCCTTCTCGAGCCTGGTAGATCTCGTCTCCGCCCACTCTACTCTGAACCTCCTTAGCCTCATTGATGGCATTGTCGGACGTATCCAAACCGTAGGTGTCGTAGCCGAGAGCAGCGAGCAAGAGGACATCATAGCCTCTACCGCACCCAGGGACTAGGGCCGTTTTTCTGTTGCCATTCGTAGAGCTTGGGGAAGAGGGGAAGAGCTCTTTCCTGTCTACTAGCACGTCGTTTAGGGCCATACTAGGTGATCCTCGGTCCCAGGGTGTGAAGCTGTCTTTCCATAGGCTGTCCCATCTGGAGCCGTGCTCTGAGAAGTCTGCATCTTTGAAATGGGCTTGTAGCCGGGTGGGAGCTACGTCCCGAGGCATTGGAGGAAAATGGTTGTGAGATTGACTGAGATACACGCGTGGTCTGCTCGACACTTAGAAGTCCCGAAATGTTGAGCAGAAAATGTAGACAGCCGTGGAATATACGTGGATTTAACACGAAATAAGACCACCGGCCACTGAATAGAAGTCGGAAAAGACGGCGATGATTAGAAGCTCACTCCCTAATTGTTTACTAAACCCTCTCCATATCGAGCTATCTATCTCTTTGACGTCGTTGATGTATGGCGGGGAGTGCCCCTAGCGGAGATGTGTTTAGCGTGCCGTTATAGGTCTCCCGGGATAGAAGCTGAGCTGACCACCCCCCCCGAACTAATTGACCTGACACCCCTTGAAGTTATGAGGTGCACCTAATTGTACCTACACCTCCGCCAGGGTAATAAACGTTATTTCAGCGAGTTGAATATACCTGATTGAGTTTCGAAGCTTCTGTTTATTTCTATAAGCCCGCTGTTCTCGACAAAAGTAGCAACTCTCTTGTCTGAAAGGTCACGATTCCCACTCAGGATTAACAATTATTAGCCCGGCAGAGGTGTATAGTATCCATAGCACCTACAGCAACTACAGCACCTATAGTATCTACTAACCGTTTAGTGGTCTCTTATTAACCGGTAAGTAAGAGGCTAGGGTTAGGGTTAGAGTTAATAATCGGCTACTAAACAGTTAGTTGGTGCTGTAGGTAGGTCGGTGCTGTAGGTGCTATATGTATAGTGGGTATCTTAGGTATTTACATATTCTAGATACTTCTCACTCTAAATTCAGGTGATGTGAACCTGTGAACTTTAGCCTGTCTATTTTACGCTAGTCCTATACAAAAATTCGAGGGCGGCGTCAGATCAACTGGTTAGGGGGGGTCAGCTCAACTGGTAAAGCTAGGTCTCCCGAATAAGCGAGTGCCTCGGCTCCCACGGTCATCCAACCATGAGCCCTCAGCATATGGAGGAATAAGAACAGTCGGACTATTTGGACAGCAATCGGACATCTTCCCTTCGCGAATGTTGACGCTTGGTTGCCAAACTTCATCTCAGCGTGACTTACAGGAATTCAGAGATTTGGCAATGGACGTGAATAGCTTATTCAATGTCAAGGTGAGTAGCCAAGCTGTTCACTTGTTCTATGCCGTGTTAGCTTACACTGCATGCAGGGCAAGGTCGTCCTCGTTACAGGAGGTTTGTAGCGATAACATAACTATCTCTGGGAATGAAGAACCTCTGACATCTGCCCCAGGAGGCAAAGGGATAGGGCGCATGATCTCAGAAGGTTATGTGACGAATGGAGCCAAAGTCTACATCTCGTCTCGCGATGCGAAGGCTTGCGAGGCAGCCGCTGCTGAGCTTTCTGCCATTGGTGAGCAACGTCAACTTGAATCAAGCTTCACTCCTGACAACATCATAGGATCCAAGACCGGCGGCGGCACCGCGATCGCGCTACCCGCGGACCTGCAGTCTCTAGACCAGTGTAAGAAGCTGGCCGAAGAGCTCGCGAAGAGGGAGTCTAAGCTCCACGTGCTGGTGAACAATAGCGGCGCGGCCTGGGGCGCGGACTTCGACAGCCATCCGGACAGCGCCTGGACCAAGGTGATGACGCTCAATGTCCAGCGTGTCTTCACTATGACGCAGCTCCTCGCGCCCCTACTACAGGCGGCAGCTGGGCAGACGGCGGAGACTGAGGGCCAGCCCGTCCAAGATCCCGCCCGCGTCATCAACATTGGCTCCATAGACGGCATCCGCGTCCCAACGCTGCCCAACTTCGGGTACAGCGCATCCAAGGCGGCGCTTCATCACCTTGGCAGGACGCTGGCCGTCGAGCTGGGCCCCAGGGGCATTACAACAAACACTATCGCATGCGGGCCATTCCCATCGAAAATGTTTAAGCCTGTGTTTGACAGGTTCGCAGACAGTATCTTGGAGACTTCCCCGGTCGGGAGGATCGGAACGCCTCAGGATGCTGCCGGGACGTGTCTTTTCTTGTCCAGTAGAGCAGGGTAAGGATCCAGTCCATTAGTTATGAGCCTGGTCTAACAATTACCATAGGGCATTCCTCAACGGCGCGATCATACGGTTAGATGGTGGCATTTCACAATTAGCCAGGCTCTAGTTTTGCTCAGATGAGAAGCAGAGAAGTATCTGCCGTCCCATGTACAATAAATCTCAAGTTCGTAATCTTCATTGGCAACGACTTTTCCAGTTGTCTAGCATGCATACCGAACCGTCTAACGCCATAGCTTTCCCCTATGCGACACCTTTTCCCCAAACCGTCAAAGTCAAGTGTCTTAATTAGAAAGGCAGGCTCTCGTGCTTGAACCTCTTCTTGCCCTCTCCCTCACCGTAGACGGCAGAGACGTGGCCACCACCTCTGATCTTATACTTGTAGATCATCAGCCCTTCCAGGCCGACGGGTCCACGAGCATGGATCTTGTTGGTACTAATTCCTACTTCTGTGCCGAATCCGTATCTCATGCCGTCGGCCATTCTCGTAGACGTGTTCCAGTAGACGCCAGCAGAGTCCACCCCAGACATGAATTTCTCAGCGAGTTCGTCTGAAGATGTCAAGATAGCGTCCGTGTGATGGGAGCCGTGGGTGTTGATATGAAGAATGGCATCATCGAGGCTGTTCACAACCTTGACTGCCAAGACCAGGGCTAAATGCTCAGTGTCATAGTCCACGTCCTTCGCATCTTCCACCTGAGAGAAGACATTTTCTGAAAATTTGGACTGTAGAGCAGCCTTGGATTTTGCGTCACACCGCAGCGCTACGCCCTTCGAAATCAACGCCTCAGCGGCAACTGGGAAGACAGTCCCAATGGCCGAGTCTTCCACGAGCAGTGTCTCGACGCTGTTACATGCGGCGGGGTAGCTTGTTTTAGAGTCCACTATAACGTCAGCCGCCATCTTTGGCTCGGCGGTGTGCTCCAGGTAGATGCTGCATAGACCGTCGGCATGGCCAAGCACGGGAATCTTGGTGTTTGACTTGATATAGCGTACCAGCTCATTTGATCCTCGGGGAATGACGAGATCAATAAACTGGTCCAAATCAAGGAGCTGAGGAATGACATCGCGAGTCGTCACAAGCTGGATGGCGCCGTTCGGCACATGGCACTTGTCCAGGGCGGCTGATATCGCCTTTGAGATGGCGACGAAGGACTCTGTGGACTCTTTGCCACCCTTGAGGATGGCGGCATTGCCAGATTTGATGGCTAGAGAAGCAATGTTGGCAATGACTTCGGGCCGGGCTTCGAAGATGATAAGGAGGACACCGATGGGACAAGATATCCTCTCAAGCACCAGGCCGTCATCCAGCTTTGTCCTCAGGGTGACCTTGCCGACTATCGCAGCCAGTCAGCAACCGGCCCGAAAGAGATACAGGCTGATAATTCGTATTCAAAACTCACCAGGATCCTCAAGTTCTCTGACGTCCAATATGCCCTTGAGCATGTCATCCCACTTGCCCTTCTTGCCCAGATCCAACCGGGAGACTAGGCTCTGGCTCAGCTGCCCATCGGCTGCAGCCTTCCGAGCGGCGTCCATGTCCCGAGCGTTAGCGGCGAGGATATCATCTTTGGACTCGATCAGAGCAGAGTGAATAGCTGTGAGAGCATCATTGCGGGCGGCCACGGGCAAGGTGGCCAGGTAGTGTGATGCCGACTTAGCAGCCCGCGCCGCATCAGCAGGCGTGGCGCTGGTCAGCGACATGATGCTTCGGAAAGGGTTCGTAAAGCAAAACGAAAAATCCAGCAAGGCAAAAGGCTCCTTCCCTCGTTTGGCTATAGAGATTCAACGGAAGTCACGATGGGCCAACGGTCAAGGCAAAGATGCGGTTCCGTGCAGGTATTAGAGCCTCAAATCTAAAATTTTGGCTTTCCCCGGATTCTGATAGTCACACCGATCGGTCTCCCACTCCGATTCGGGCACCATCGTCTCGGCCTGTGGTTGGTCAATTGGCCCTCTCTTCACTCTACCTATTCTCGCTCTTCACCTTACAGGCTGCACAAAGGATAGTTGTCAGGTCAGCCACCAGTATGAAAATGCCAATAAGATCCTATATTTTGATAGCTTATTTACATCGAGTCTCAGCCTCACACTCTCTTTCAGATGACGTCCCACTAGGACTTCATCCTCCCGTATAAGTTATCTCATGTTTGGATCTGAAGTGTCGCTCGGCGCGCGAGTCCGCCCTGTGACCGTCAGGGTCCTCATGCCTGTTTTTCTTTAGCGCACACTAAAAGTCAACCGCTAACCCACCTTCCTCCAGAAGTAAGAAGCGAGAACCGACAAGCACTGCCGTTGCAAGCGTTATCGGCACTGAGCTACCGACACATTCACGCACACTTCCGATACGGCAGACAGCCTTGACGGATGGCCTCTGCATGCTTCCGATGCTACAGCAGGCCTGGCCTGCCGATATCCAGTAATCAAGGCCGGTAGCTGTCGTGATCATCCGTCTGCTGGAAACACTGGCGTCATCTGCTTGATGCTGTTGTCGTTGCTGATGCTGATGCTGATGCTGGTGCAGCTGTTGGTCGAGCTCTGGAGCGGCAGCCTCTGATCCAATGTGTGCCGAACAGCCGGCCGCCGCACATTTGCAGGTCAAAGACGACATTCCAGCACAGAATCTCGCTCTCTTGTCGAGGTCCAATCCAATGTTGAAGCCAGCTTCTGAAGCTAGCTTCTGAGGGCAGCTATCTGCAAACAAGCAGCAGTTCCTCGGGTATCGACTCTCCATGGGCAGTGCCTCCGCACAAGTGGCGGGGCCTACTCGGTCTCTTCCCACCCTGACTCTTGCATTTCACCATTTCGCCCGCTATGCCCACCCAGGCCAGCCACCGTTCCGAAGCCGGGTCGTGGCAATGACCGGATAGCCATTCGCTCACCACTAATGAATGACCTCGGTGGTTCCCGAGTGGGTGTGGTTCAGCAGCGCTAAGTAACATCGTTGAACCGCCTGCCCTTTTCTCGTTATAAGCCTTCATAGGGCCTCTCATGCCTCTCATGGCTCTTATTCCCGGCTGTCACAGTGACTGCTGGTTTCACCATGACGCTGCTTAGTGCTGTCCTTCCGGAAGTTTGCACCCTACCCAAATAGCTATCCTTGTTTCTGCTTCTTCATGATTCTCCTCTCAACTGTCTTCCATATATCGTCACCGTGTCAAGAGACCCACAGGCTGGAGACCGGCTATTGCTTGGCATAGCACTTTTAAATCTGAATCACCTCGCAACTGATTGGAGAGTGGGATCGCCACGCGCGACCCATCAGAGTACACGCCCATGGTGGCGGTCGATGAGGAGAAGATTGAGCCGGTGGCAGGCAGTCTTGGCCCGTCTACGGACCGCATAAGCTCCACCGAGCCGGAGCAACAAGACGACGCCGACTCGGAAGCAAGCGATCATGAGGAAACCGCACGCCCAGACGATGAGAAGTCTCACAAGTCCGATGAGGCGGAGGCCCATGAGGACCCGGAGGGCTGCCCGGAAGGACTCAATGTCAATGTCCCTCCCACGCAAGTCCAGTCGCGAGCACACTCACACGCCTCTTCGACAAGATCGCGAGCCCTCTCCATAGTTCCTAGGTCGAGACGGAGAGGTCTCTTTGGCCGATTTGCTATAATACCGGAGGTAGACCGCCCCTACGACTACTCAAACAAAACCAAATGGACACTCACGAGCGTTGTTGCCCTGGCGGCAGCCGCAGCGCCCATTGGCTCAGCCATTTTCTATCGTACGCAGAGATTATTGTCCTTAAGTCGGTAAACATAGAGTTGACCCAGACCGCAGCCGCCCTGCCACAAATGTCTATTGACTTGCACGCAAGTCCAACCATTACCAACTTGACTGTTGCCCTGTATATGCTTTCTATGTCTATATTTCCCTTATGGTGGTGAGTATACCATACAAGTTTCAAGACCTCCTAGTGGCTAAAGTCTGGAACAGGTCCTCCTTCTCGGAGACATTAGGGCGGAGAACGATTTACCTCATATCGTTCGCCCTCTTCGTAGTGTTCTCCGTACTCAGTGCTGTGAGCACAAACATCGCCATGTTAATTGTAATGCGTATTCTGGGTGGTGGTGCCTCAGCGTCTGTCCAAGCAGTCGGCGCAGGTACGATTGCCGATATCTGGGAGCCACAAGAGCGCGGCAGGGCTATGAGGTAGGTAAAAATGTCACTTCACCATTGTTATATGACCCGTTGAAGTCACGGATACATTCCCACTGTCTTCGACAGTTACGGCGGTTGCCATGTGAAAATCTTCGAGGAACTTTAACTGACTGGTGGTCTGTAGTATGTTCTACCTTGGACCTCTGACTGGGCCCCTATTCGCCCCTATCATTGGAGGAGCCTTGTCCCAAGGCTTTGGATGGGAGAGCACAATGTGGTTCTTAACCATTTACGGTGGTGTCACTCTGGTCATGGTCTTCTTTTGTCTTCCCGAGACATTAGCCAAGCGCAAACCGCTTGTAACACACGCTGCTCTCCAGTCCTCCAGGCCGGGAAGTTCTGCCAACAACGAGATAACACCGCATCTTTCACGAATGTCGACAAGGCAATCCGTCAAGCAACACACCAAAGCTGGCGCAGAATTTCTCAAGCGGGCTTTCATCGACCCGCTCGAGTGTATAACATACCTGCGCTTTCCCCCAGTGGCCATAGTTGTCTACTTCGCAGCAATCACATTCGGATCGCTTTTCGTGCTCAATATCAGCACACAGTCATCCTTTTCAAAATCACCCTACAACTTCTCCGAGCTGATCGTCGGCCTGCTGTACCTTCCCTCCTCCCTGGGCTACATCGGCGCGTCCTTCGTCGGCGGCCGCTGGATCGACAACATCATGGCTCGCGAGGCTCGCAAGGCCGGCCGATACGATGCCCGCGGCAAGCTTATCTACCTACCTGAGGACCGCATGCGCGAGAACGCCTGGCTGGCAGCGACGATGTACCCCGCGGCGCTGGTGTGGTTTGGGTGGACGACAGACCGCGGTGTGCACTGGATTGTACCAGCCATTGCCAATTTCTTCTTCGGCTTTGGCAGTATGTTGGTGTTTGGGGCTGCCACTACAATGCTGACTGAGTTCATGCCACGAAAGTCCTCGAGCGGCGTTGCCTTGAACAACTTTGTGCGCAACATCTTCTCGTGCGTCGGTGCCATCGTTACCCAGCCGCTTATTAACGTCATGGGTGTTGGCTGGCTGTGCACAATGATTGCCATCGTCTGCTGGACGACTGGCAACCTCTCCATCTGGGCCCTGAAAAGATATGGTCCTGGATGGCGAAAGAGTATGGATGCCAAATTGAGTGTGCCTAGTTGATGGAGGATGCTAGCCAGGCGCTTGATAGACCTCATAAATCAAATGAAAATGATTCTATTTGAAGTACAAATAACTATTTGCCTTTAGCTCTACAGCGATGAACGTGCTTCTTTTTAGCCTGGGAACAGGAAATGTATTCATGTATCAAGTGCTATCAATGTCACATTCACTATCAGCAATTCGAATGCTATTCGTAGTCTTCATTGGATTGTCTGTTGCTTGCGAGGCTAGGCCTCAGAAAACTCCTACCCCTATACGCCACCCATTTAAAGTCAGCCCTAGACGGGCGCAATGCTTCTGCATATGCTTAGACATTACATATACAAGAAATAGTAAGAACCGCAAGGACCCTTTGTCGCCATGAACTCACGTCATCAATCATCACGTTCACACCTTACAAAGAGCGTCACCGCACGATGGTTGAGTCGATCAATCTCCGCGACCCCTGTAGCTCCCCATCTTCTCGATTGAGCTCATGATGCCGTTCCGCACGGCCTGTCCACTACCGGGACGTGCAATCCCGCTCATCCCGATACTCTGCTTCCGTTCGTGCGGCTGCTGCATCCTGCCGATCCGGCTCTCGCCAGTTCGTGAGATAGAGCCTGGCGTCTTTAGCATAGAAGTCCGCGGTCCGCTCGCCCGGGCGTTCTCGTTACCAGGCTGGGCCTTGGTCGAGGGGATGCCAGCGCTGGCGGGGCGCTTGTCCTCGGTAGCGACGAAGCTCTGCTGCATTGACATCATCTCCTCGGCGAGGATGACGAGCTCGCCTTTCTCTACACGCTCGAGCTCTAGCAGACGTCTCAGTTCCGAGTTGTCGTTCTGCACAGACTTGACGGTTGCTTCTAGTTTCTGCACTTCGGCACCGAGCTCCTTGATCTGAGCGGAGTCCTTCGCGGCCTGCTCCCTGCGCTCCTCTTCAGCAGCCACGGCATTGGGATCGACCTTTGTCATGGTAGCATCGCGGCCAATACGCAGGTCCTCGTTCTCCTTGGCAAGATCCTCAAGACGGACCTCCAGCTCCCGCACCTTCTTCTCCCAGCGGCCCTTGTAGCTCTCTTTCAGCGCCGCAACCTTCGTCTCGTGCTTGCCCTTGTACAGAGCGTGCAGCTCACGCGCCACGCGCTCCACGGCAATCTCGACCTCCTTCTGCGTCTTCGAGGCGGGGCTCCTCACGCCGCTCGGGGACTCGACGCGCTCGCCCTCGGCGGTGAGCTTGCCGGCGCGCATGCCCGCCATCTTGCTCTCGGCGTCCTGGGCCATCATCTCGGCCGCCTCGCGGCGCTTCTCGGCCTCGTCCAGCTTGAACTCGAGGTCCTCGCGCTCCCGCTGGCTGAGCACAATCTCCTCCTTGACCTTGCGCAGGATGCTCTCCATCTCGCGGCCCCGCTTCTCCCACGTGTCCTTGTCGACCGCCAGCTGCTCCCTGAGCGTCCGCTCCTCGCGCAGCTGCTCGCCGTACTCCCCCGCACGCTTCTCCGCGTCCCCCAGCGCCGCCTTCAGCGACGTCACCTCGGCCTCCTTGCCGCTCAGCGTGGCCTTCAGGCTGCTGATTTCAGACAGGAAATTTGACTTGAGACTTTCGAGCTCTCGGGGTGTGACTGTGGGGATGCTTCGCGGCGTGGGCAGGGGAGGGATATCAAAGTCAAGAAGGTTCGCTAGGCTCTGGCGCTGGGGCGTCTTAGCAACCGCCGGTTCTCTCGCGGAAGCTCCGTTCTTCGATGGTGATTCTGCCCGGCCGTGTGGGAAGCGCAATTGCTCCGTAAAATCTAGTAGGTTTGTGGTGTTTCCTGAATCTCGCTGAGGGGGCCCTCTGTTCGGCAAGGGGCCGGCTCGGGGCGTTGCCATTGGGGTGGCGTTGCTCATCGCGGCTGGCTGGCCACGAACGGGCGTCTGGCCGAGGCGAGCAAACATGGTCATGTTCGGGACCGCGGAGAAGCTACTCAGTGTGCTGACCATTGTGTCGTCCGCGCCAGCCATCTCGTCGTAGCCATGCTCCTCCTCTTCCTCTACTACAGGGATGGATATCGTGGCCGTGTTGTTATCGCCGTCACCATCCACTCCGTTCTCCAGCACGCTTTCGTCGTCTTCAAAGATCTCAATGGCGTGTTTTAGCCCTGTGTTCTCACTTATCGCCTCCTCTAGGCTCATCTGTCGCTCGTGTGTAAGTCTAGCACGAGGCGTCTCGGCTGGCGGCTGGACTGGTGTCTGTACAGCTGTCTCGGCGGGTGCCTGAAAGGAAGTCTGAAGCGGCGTGCCGACCTTAATGGGAAACCGCCTCTCGAGGGGTGATATCTTCCGTGGGCTCCGCGGAGGCGGCATCTGCATCGACATCGACTGCCTCTTGGACGAGGGGGGCGCCTCAGTCCCCGAGGAGCTGGAAGTCGATGCTTGGAGAATCTTGAGGGGCGATAGCTCATTACCGGACATGATGCGCGAGTGGCGGGCCTTCGCCGGCGAGAGGACGTCCTGCTCAGCCTCCCTGACATTGGTCAGGAACGGGGAGCTGTCCTCGTCCCCCTCGTTCTCGCCGCCATCGCTCGGGGATACGTGGGACGTGTAGGTCTTGACCTCGACCTTGTCGGTGCGCCGGCTCGTCGGGGGCGTGGATAGATTGAGCATCGTGCTTTTTGTAGGCGATAACGGCGAAGCCATGGGAGGAGGGCCAGACCTGAATCGCTGCTGCTTTTTCTTCAACGGACCGACCAGAAGCAGAGGAGATTCCAAAGTTACCACCGGCTGGGCTGGACTGACAGTGGGAATTATTATGAGCGGTGTGGGCTATGGGGGGAGATCGATGCCCTGGGTGCATTAACTAGTCTAATTACAGTTTATTTCCTTGGGCGCGTTTTGTTTCCCCCCAGCAACCGGGGCCATGCACGGGCCAACTGTGTAGTCCTTAAGTATGGAGTTAAGATGGCAAGGAGTTGGCTGTCCCACCAATCCATGGTTAACCCCACTTCGACTGAACCGTGCTGCTTGCTTTGACTTCAGTCAGGGGAGGCAATAGGGGAATTTGCAGTTTCAATGCTCAGCCTCTTAAACCGCCTTTCCCTGGACTGTGGCTTACCTCAAAGAAATATCTTATCAGCCTCCTTGGCTTCGAAACAAGGTAGCTTTCAAATTTGATCCAACAAAGCCTGTCAGTGGCAACGGCTGATTTGTAACATCATGCAAGGGGTCGTGGTGGCTCTCCTTACTGCAGCTCCGGGACGGATAACGGCGTTGTCTCCGACATCTTTGTAAATGATTCAGGCAGGCGAACATTTTGCATGGATGATTGGTGGTTCAGTAAAGGCACAACTTGATGGATGAATGTACAAATGTAGCACGCCAGTCATGAGAGACATTTTGTAAGGTCTAGGTCTTTGTATTGTAGACAGCTTTTAATTCCGTCGTAACTCGTTACCTAAAGTGACATTTCCAACACACCATCTCAGCGCTTTTGTGAAAAAAGAAAAGGTCGTTAAGTCGTTCGTTAAGAGTTTAATATCAACTAGCGAAGATCCTGCCATCCATCCATTGGGTCTTGAGGTATCGCCGGTCATGTTGTCCCCTAGCTGTATCGATATGGCAGCCAAGTAGAGCCGAAGAGAATTTGTTTGTTGATAAAAAAAAAGGGCGAAAAAAAAATTGGTCGCAGTTTGTGCGTCATGCCCAGTCCTGATATCATCACAGGCGGGTGGGTTAACCGGGTTGCAAATGCGGAAAACGGTAGACGGGGGCTCTTTGGAGATTAAGTCCTTCCATGCAAAAACCGTAATTCATCAGCCATTTACAGCCATCCACATCAGGGCATTTGTTTAAAAGCAGAAGAGTTCGTAATCTCGTCAGCGCGTACAATGCCGATGAGTCATGGTCGAATACAAGAACGGTGAGGTTGGTAGTAAGGAAATTCAAGGGAGTGTGATGAGCACTTATGTCCGGAAGAGCGACTATCATGATCCTGCTGCCCGCAACAGGAAGATGTTACGGGGAGGCAGGCCAGGTGATAAGTAGTATAGCTCCGGTGATTACTTCACACACGTGGGGCTCAAGTCCACGAAGTGATTGCACCATTATCGCACCCATGACTTCTTCTCCACAGTGCCGCAACGCCTCTAAAGAGCAGATGAGACAGAAAGTGAGAAGTAACAGAGTTGGCGTGGGTGACAGGGAGTTCCACAGACTATTACCTCCGTCGAGGAGCGGCGATTGCGGTGGGTTGCCTCATCGAGTTGTCGTAACCAGGTGAAGGCATAGATCCGTCGAGGCCGATAGTCTTTCGGCGCTTAAGATCGAATCCACCCATGCCTGCTCCACCGCTGGATGGCCGGTCGTCATCATCGTCACGGCCACGCTTGAGCCCTGTAGGGGCGCCATTCATGGTAGGATAGCCATTTTGCATTGAGCTTCCCATGTCGGGCTGCGGTGCGTAAACATCGCCTCCAGGACCACCATTTGTAGGGCCGCGGTCGTTGCTCATTACATTATAGAGGCTACTCGACTGTTGCGGCGCACGAGGTGGGGTATTGTAGCCTGGTTGTGCGTAGTAAGATGGCGGTGCAGCAGCACTTCGAGGAGTTGATCGACCAGACGCCCCCTGATGGTTCCCAGCGCCGGTCATGTCGCCAGATAAATGCGAATGATCATTGGGCATCGATGCAACAGGAGGGGCATTGTAGTTATACTGCGCTCGGCTGGCATCATATGCACCGCTGTCGTGTGTATACTCGGTATCATGATCATGCTCGGCCTCCTCTTCCGGGTGCGGAACAGAGTCGCCTGGCTGGCCGGGATAACCGTTGGTAGCCTTGGGGTCCTGTTGTTCGCCAGTCGGTCCACCTACGGAAGGTCGGCTTGATGGCGGGCCCATGTCATTCTTGACATAGCTAGCTTGACCGTAGAGACCTCGATCCTGAGGGCTAGTATTAGAAGGAGGGTAAGGACTTTGCTGCGGTGGTGGTGCGTTATATAATTGCCGAGAATTATCATATGGTTGCGATGCAGGAGGGTATGCCTGCATGCTCTGGAGAGTGGGACCTGGGGGCGTTGTTGCCGGAGTGGCAGGCATTGAACGAGCATTGCTCAACCCAGTGTCGATAGACATTGGGTTCGCACCCTGTGCACCGCTCATACCCTGTTGCGACCACTGAAAGTTGTCTGACGCACCCATGCCGCCCATGACGCTAGAAGCGCTGGTTGGGGGCGTCGGGAAGGTGTGCGCACGATCTAACGATGGGCGTCCCATGTTGCCGTGCGAGGGAAGAGACGGTTGCGGTCCTGGTAGCCCCATGGAATGGTGATGGTGCTGCTGTAGGGATGGCAGCCCTGCAGGAGAAGGCTGAGCATTGCGCATCTGATTCTGTTCCTGCTTGCGGCGTTCTGCAGCCGCCATTACCTGCGTAGTGCGGTTCTGATTTGTTGGGTGATAGAGCAGAGCACCAATGTTGTGCACAAACAGTGGGTACAAGAGCTCAGTAATCTTCTCCTTGTTCGCGAAGTCCAAGGCTCTTTCAAACGGAATCCTATACAAAGTTAGCTCAGGGCTCAAAACACTTAAATGTAGCCGGCGGCTAAGCTTACCAAACACCCTTGAGGTGCATTGGGCCGATCTTCACAACATGTCGAACCTTTTCGCTCTTGAGGATGCCGTCTCTGCGCCCACGGGTCATGCCAGCTACATTAAGCAGCTTGGTACCGTTGATCATGTGATTATCTGTTCACCATGATTAGCATTTTGAATCTCAAATCCCAACCTAAGCTCATCGCATACCTTCTCGACGCGCAACACAGATTCCTCTTGCCTCAACTTGGAAGCAAAGGCTACCTTCATCTTCCCACAATGTTGCTGTGACACGCGGCTTCATGCCGGGGGGGGCAACCTGCCCGGTGGTATCAAAACCCTGATATTGGTTTTGCATGCCGGGCTGATTAGTGACACCGGGCAAGGGCAACACATTTGGGCCACCCATGGTGCTGGACACCGGGGGCCCAGTAGGAGGAGAAGTCAAGCCATTGGCATATCCGTACTGCTGATATGGCGGCGCAGAATACTGAGCTGGACCGGGTTGCAGTAACGGCGGCTGCTGGTGAGAGTAGTGTGTCATTGCTCCGGAAGTAACGGTCTGAGGCGGCGGTGCCTGGCCCGCGGACATGTGCGGCGGTGGGTAATACATCTCGCCCTGATTCATTGCTGGATATTGCTCGTATCCGGCAATGGACTGGGTCGAGGGCCCGGTGAGCGAGGGGTGTACGTGAGCCGTTGGAGTTGGGGGGGTCTTCGGACCAAGTGAAGACGCGGCAGAAGTGAAGGATGACTGAGAGCCCGTATGCGAACTGGCCACGGAACTTATGGAGCTAACCCGGGGTGAACCCGTACCCGAGGAGTATGCCTGTTGCGGCGGAGGTGGAGGCAAAGAAGGCAGTCTCTCACTCACATACAGCGGACGCTGGGCGGCGTGGGCGTTGTAATATGGCACGTCGGACGGACCCCGGGTTTGCACCTGCGAAATCGACGGGAGATCCAGCTTTTCGGTATTGTCCTCAGACTTCACGAAATGGACCTAATTGGCAGACCGGATAGAGCCCCAAGTCGTTGGCTTGGACTCTGGCAGGTCTGTCACGGAAGGCAATGGTATGAGACCAATTGACTTCCAGTGCACCCAGCTCGAGTAGGCAAGACAGTTGCCTCCGATACAACACAAGACTGGAACAGGAAGAAGCACTCGACGCTTGTGAAAAACTTTTATGAGAGGTTCGTAAAGTATTTGACGGAGACACTGATCAGTGTGTCCAGGAGAAGGCGTTATACTGGCGTTATAGGCGTGAACGGGCGTACTCAAAATAGTTCCATCAAAAGACCAGCCGAACAAATCTGCGTGGTGAGGACTCGAAAGGGTGGGAGAAAGCTGGTGAACGAGAAAAGGTTCGCAGAGGAAGATCGGTCTATCCGTGTGACGGGCAAGTACCACAGATTGGGTGCAGCAACACTCGTACAGGACCGGAGGCGGAAAATGGGAGCCGTGGGAAGAGGTGGTGATATCGAAATCCCCGCCAGCAGCTGAATGCTCCGTTTGGGGCCGCTCTTTTGCTCCTCTTATCTATCTTCCTGGCCGCGAAATCACAGGACGTTTTAAACTCGTGAGCTCGGCTGCTGCAGGTACATTGGTTAGTCCTGGGACAAGGCAAGGCAAGGCAAGGCAGGGTAAGCGCAACGCAACGCAAGGCGGAGCAACAACGATCGTCTGCTTATAGGAGAGAGATGCAGTAGGAAGGTGGATGGGATGCAGGAAAAAGTTTGTGCGCAGGACGCAGGTTTGGGATTGGGATGAGAGGAGAACAACAGGACGAAGGATAATTCAGGTCAGCAGCTAGTCATACCTTCCGTCGCCTCACAGGGTTTTCCTCACTCAAAGAGAAATTGAGGAGGTCGGCCAATTCGTTCGTGATGGGGGAGGAAGAAGAGAATCGAGGAGGATGGGAGAAGGCTTGTTTTTGGTGGTCAGTGAGGAGGCCGGATGGGAAGGTCAAGGGTAGATCAGAGAAAACAGAGAGGACCAGGGCCTGGTTCTGCCGTACTGTGCTGTACCGCAAAGGTCTTAGATTAGAAGACTAAAGTCCACCACCGCCGACGAGCCAGGGTAGGTAGTTTGGATCCTCCTTCTCCTCCTCCTCTTTTTTCTCTCGCTGGTTCTCCTCTCACTCCACTACTCTACTTGTCTACTTGCCTGTGCTCGATGCTTGTCCGCTGTTGGGTGGACGGGCGGCCAGGGGAGCAGGGTTGGTTGCCCGGCCGTGTACTCTTAGGTAGTAGGGTAGTGCGTAGTGCAGCGTAGCGCGAAGGGTAGTGTGGGTGTAGGTAGGGCAGGGGGGTTAGGTAGGGCAGGGGGGTGGGAGGAAGATGGGAGGTGGTAGGGGTAGGGTAGGGGTAGTGGTGGGCCGGCTGGAGGTGGGAGGGGGGTGGGAGAGGGGAGGAGAGGAAGAGAGGAGTCTTGTCTTTTTGTCCGTGTGGATGTGGATATGGATTAGGGAGGAGGTAATTCATAAGTGGCTTCCGGGAGAGGAGCCAACAGGCGGCCAGTGCCAATTCCTATCATCCACTCTGGTCTGCTCGACCTCTTCTCTAGTACGGAATAAGACAGTGTATAAGAAAGAAGAAGAAGAAGACGACGACGAAGAATCAAGCCTGTAAAGCAAGCTGGCGCCAGTCTGCCTGTCCTGTCCACTCCCGTCCAGTCCACGAGACAAGCTTGTGCCAGTGCCAACGCACACGCGCACACACACATACACATCCACATACATAAGAGGAGGCAGGCAAGGCAGCTAACTATGTTGAGCCAGGACAGGCAGGAAAAGAACAAGCAGGGTCTTCAGAAACCAACATGTACACACACCAGGCCGGACAAGGTAACTCAGTGGATGATGGTGTTCACTTTAGCTGGTCCACTATCCGCCGTCCGCTTTTCTTGTCTCTCCCTCTCGCCCACTGATTTCGGGCCTGCTGGCTCGCTGGCTGGGCTGGGCAGACCAGGGTCAATAGAGCGCCATGCCATGCCATGCCATGCCATCCATGGAGAGCTTTCTCAGTCAATGGCGAGGAGAAAAGTGAAAGTGAGAGCCCAGTGTGCAACAGTGAGACTGACGAGGTTGGGGCACCAGGCCGATAATGAGCGGGCCATGAATCTGGCCTGGTCTGGTCTGGTGCCCTTATGCCAGTGCTGTCTTGTGTCTGTTAGTTCGATTGAGGATGAGAATCGCTACGACACCTAGTTACCCATAAGGTGAAATGAGGTAAGATGAATTGAAGTAGACATTGTGTATGTATGTGTGTAGGTAGTTCCTAGCTGACTGGCAGTTGCCAGATGCTCCAGCAAATCCAAGTAGGCCAACAGTACACAGCACAAGTCAACAGATAGAGAACTCCCTACCTGTCTACTATGCAGTAATGTTGTTGTGTGCAGTAAAACAGCGGGCAGCGAGCAGCGAGCTCGGGGGTGTCGCGACCGGGACCGGGGCTGGGCGGGAGGGGGGTGCACTTATGAGGTTGCACCACCAGACCGGGGAGGACAGCCATTATCGACCAGGGTGGGGGATGATACTGCATGCATGGGTTCTTAGGTATGGTAGGTGTAGGTGTGGCCGGTACGTACAAAAGTACTCCACTCGGTAAGGTGCGAAGGGTCGGATAGGCCGTGCGAGACGCCTGCGCACGCCAAAACGAGACACGGTGGGAATCGTCGCACCGTGCAAAGTAAAGTGCAGCCAAGTGTCAGTTCCAGTCCAGCCAAGTCAGGTCAAGCCAAGTCAGTCAGCTCTCACGCCCTCGATAAACCAGGAGCGGCAAGTCCAACAAGTCAAGTCACCATTGTTGCTGTCTGTTGTCGTCCAGGTGCAAGTCTCACAAAAGCATGCAGGTATCACAACGACGGCGATGACTAACCAAACGAAAGAGCAAATTTCCCAGCGACAGAAACAGATCTCCCCGCGCATCTTACGGCCACCGCGAGGTCGACTTACTTAAGCTTCTAAGCTGCCTGGGCGGAGTGGGCCAAAGTATGCTCCGCGCATACACCGTCCATGATGGTCCAAACCGACCGACATGGAAGCTCAAGGTGTCTGTAGGTTCTGCCTTATGCGCATGCGAATGAAAGCTTTGGATGAGAGGTTCATATAACGTTAAACCTCCAACGCTTCCGACGTTTCGTTGAAGCCAGTTCAACGTTCACTCTACTGGGCATTTCACCCGTCCTCCCATAAAACTCAATTGCAAGCAGTGCGGTCAGTAAGACGGCCCCGGCGAATAGGCCGAGGATGTCAGTCAGTCAGTCAGTCATACTTGCACAGGCCACTGGCAATTGGATCTACGGGAGAAGGGCAAGGACTAGCGAGAGACAAGAAGAAACGTCGCTGGGGTTAGCCGCTCGCAAAGGGCAAAAATGGCCGACCAGCAAGGATTTCGGTTGGTGGACAGTTTTCTTATCTCTGCTGACTGACTGGAATACTAGGCAGGTACCTCTCCCGCTGGTTGGCTCACATTTGTGTTCCGCTAGGCTCAAGAATAAAATGCAGCCTTCGGAGGTCAGGACTGCGGTGGTGATTGAACTTGGCAGATTTCTGTGCAAATACCAAAATAAATGAGAGGCTCCATCAATGGTTATCATGGGAAAGAAAAAGGCCTGACAGACAAGTATGGTACTGGTAGGAGGTAATGCACAATTCAAACTTCTGTGTACGGCGGTGCGTGCTGTGGGCGAAGTAGCACGTTTTTCCTTAGCTTCAGTTCGCCTGGAGCACTCAACAGGGTTTACCCACGACAGCGTGGAGGAGGCACGCCCATTATCTACTCTAAGTAAGGATCGCTGGTGGAAGCCGCCTCTTTGTCAGCGTATCATAAAACAAAGGCCAAAAAGGAATCGTCGGGACAGTGGGAGCTTTGCCTAGAGCCACGGTCTTACTCGGCGGCTAGCGAGAGGGTGGACAGATGGGCGTCGCACAATTGCGGCCACTTAATATACCATGTAATGAGTTGTCACGGCCATTGTGGCTTGTAGCGAGTGTGTGCTGATGACGGGAGGAAGAGCTGCCGCGATATCAGCAGCACAATTCACGGCATCGATGAGGGATATCTGGTCCAGGAACCTTTTCAGAGCCTTATAGTGACAATCATAGCTGATTGTCCATCACGAGCTCCATTGTCGTGACAGCAAGCTTGACTAGGTAAGCCACAGTCGATGCAAATGCCCTTGTAATGGCGAGTGCCGGTATAGACGACTGCGACCTCTCTTCTGATTAGTTTTCGCTGTCTTACACTTCCAATGGCTTGACTGGCTTGTTTGAGTACCGCCGGTACTTGGATGGATATCGCATAGTCAGTCAGCTAACCAAGACGACCGCCCGGTGACGAGTTCCACAATTGTCGATACTTTATACGAAAGGAGGGGCCGGGACCTCCTCACACACTCATGATAGGAAA